ACACTTGTACTATAGGCAAACCTTTCTGGTGGAGTCACCGCCTTCCTCAGGTCATATGCTGCGTTGATCCTACCAGTTCCGTTCTCATTTGGAGTTTGAAGATCTTGAAACCCGTCTACCACATCTTCTACATTGACAACTGGAATGACAACTGTAGGCTTCTTCGCCACCTTTTTACCCCCTGTTGTCCCTTCGGCACCAGTCCTTGACTGATCCTCAGCCCCATCAACAGCTTCCTTCTCCTCATCTTCATCCTCCAGAAGATATTGTCCAACAGAAAGACTTGACTTTATCTTTCCAACACTCTTCTCGTCGAATACAACATCACAACTGATAATTATTCTCCCTTTAGCCGGATCAAACATACGAAAATTCCTTGAAGTTGGTTCGAAACTAACTAAGTACATCTTCTCTGCCTTCGGATCCAACATTGGCCTCCTCTGTTTTGGGATATGTACATAACCAGGTGATCCAAACACCCTCACATGTCCCAGCACTGGCCTCGACTGAAACAATTGCTCATACGGCGTCGTATTTGGACTTCTCGAGTTCGGCGTTCGATTCAAAATATACACAGCACTCCGTGCAGCCTCTCACCACAAACTTGCTCCACACCCAGCTCCCAGAAGCATTGTACGTGCTGACTCCATGACTGTTCGATTATCCCTCTCAATTCTGCCATTGCAGAATTTTGTTCAGGCGTATACGGAACAGATAGTTCATGAGTAATTCCTTTCTGCTTTAGAAAACTGCTTACTTCAGAATTGAGAAATTCCAGACCTTTATCAGTTCTCAACGCTCGAGGTGTAACATCTGTAACATTATGAATCAAATTAATGCATATTAATTAATGCTCTTTCCAAAAGTCTCAGATTTTGCAGCAAGAAGATACACATATTGAAAACCGATTGCTTCATCTTTTAACAAAAGTATCCATCTATACTCTCCCACTGCAGTTGTACTGATCGGTCCACTCAAATCAGCATGAATATACTCTCCCCTCAATGACGATCGAGGATTCACCAAAGGATGAGAGACCCGATGTGACTTCCCCAGAGCACACTCCTCGCAGAAGAAATCTCTACTCTCCCCACAGACAACGCCATCAGCAAGCTTGTTCTTAATAATATACTTAATAGCTGCCACATTCACGTGACCCAATCGACGATGCCACTGCTCCAAACTAACCACTCGTACCGCATGAGCCTCCTCATCAGTTGTAACTCTAAAAAACATTCTATATTGCTTCATGCTGTCTCTTACTCCCAGTGCAACAACTTGATCCTGATAATCCAACAAAGTACATCTCTGACTTTCTGTTTTCATGTAGAACCCCTTGTCCGTCACAGCTCCCACTGAAAACAAGTTTCTATCCAAACCTGGTACAAATTGCACATTCTCGATTGTATGCGACAACCAAACTCCATTCACGCAGGCCTCAATTTTGACTCTACCATGTCCTTTGATTGCAAGCCTGTCACCATTAGCAACTATCACTGATCTACCAGAATCTGTCATCACCAGCTCATCAAACCATCTCTTTCCTGTTATATGAGCTGTAGCAGCTGAATCTCCTAGTCAGCCATCTGAATACGAAGCCTTCTGTATCTCATCAATAGTATTAACAAAAGCACACTCACTCGAATGCTGTTGCTTCTCAAAACGATTTCCAGAAATTTTTGAATTCCTGGGACACTCTCTAGCCCAATGACCAACTTGTCCACAACAGTTACATTTTGTCGTTTTCTTCAAATATGAAACCGATTTGTAATCACTCCCACCATCAGTACTACCACCAGATCTCTCTTTCTTACCAGCAGCACTCCTACCAACAGCAAACGCTGCCTCTACTGTCGCAGTATTATCTGCTTTGTTTAATTGATCCTCCTTTAACCTCAATTCCCCCAATAATGTCTTCAGACTCCGATGTTTCTTATTGTACCAGACAGTCTTATAATTCTGAAATTTTGCGGTTAAGCTACTGATAATACGTATCATCTTGAGATTATCCGAAAGCTGCTCACCTTAGCCCTCTAATTCCGCTGCTATTTTTGAAACTTTGGTAACATATGTAGTTACTGACTCACCTTCTGCCATTTTCAGGGCAAACTACTCTTCATAAAGTGTCATGACAGTGACTACACTTTTCTTTTCATACAAGTCAACTATCGAATCCCACAACTCCTTGGCAGACCGACACTCCATGAACTCCATCAGCTCTACCATCTCTCTCTCCATCGCTGCAGTGATCGTCGTCATCGCTTTTCCATCTCGTTTCCGCCATAGTTCACGTGACTCAGCTGATGCACTAGCATCAGGCCTCTGCTCAGTACCCTCAGTGTATCCAAGTAACCTTTGACCTCTCAATGCTGCTGATATTTGAAATTTCCACAGTCGAAAATTTGTTCCATTGAATCAATGCAGGGAAAAGGGATTATGTTCCTCTATCTTGAATAAATCCAAAACGACTCTCCACTGAGCTCCTCAACTGACGCCACACAACAGAAACGAATAAACTCGAGTTTTACAATTTCACTCGATAAAACTGAATCTAATCTACAACTTTGTATTCTCCACTCCACCTGGGCCCATAACCTATTCAGGGAAATAAGTGGAAACTAGTGGAATAATTGACAAATGAATGTATTTAGCTGAATATACAACGCTGCACACACGTGCTATCAAAAAACCGCGATGATATTTTTACATACTCAAGCATACGATAGACTCATCTACTCAGTGGAACTCAACCTAACCTAACATCAGTGTACAATGACACTCAACAAGTTCTCCGGTCATGTTCACCCGCAATTAGATGTTGAAATTTCGCTGGCCGAGGTTTATACTAGTCTACGCAATTGTAAAAATAATAAAGCCCCGGGTATGGACGAGATTCCGAACGAATTTTTTAAAAATCTACCGCCGCCCTGGGTCTCCTATTTATATTTGCTGTTCAATAAAATTTTTTCATCTGGTCGTACGCCTGCCTCCAGGTCGAATATTGTGCTGAGTATGTTACACAAAAAAGGGAATACGTCGGACCCGAGGAATTACAGAGGCATCGTCTTGATTAAATCCTCGGCGAAGATCTTTACTCAGATTCTCCGATGCCGTTTAGAGGGTTGGGCTGAGGGTGCGAATCTTATTACGGAGGAGCAGGCGGGGTTCCGGAAGGGTAGATGGCGTCAGAATAACGCATTTGTTCTGGAGTCGGTTATCCAGTCCCACCTGCGACATCGCGGTGCGACAGTTCATTCTGTATTGGTAGATTTTCGGCGTGCGTTTGACTCCGTGCCTCATGTGAAACTGTGGCACAAAATGTTCAATCTTGGGTTCAGCGCGAAGATAATGAATGTAATGATGAGTCTCTATGATGCAACCAGGATGAGAGTCAAAGTTCTTAATGATTATTCAAAACTAGTGGATGTCACATTGGGAGTACTCCAGAGAGAGGTTCTGAGCCCTCTGCTCTTTGCCTTATATATCTCCGACATAGTCGAGTTTTTCAAATACAAAGATCATGAGGGAATTACATTGGACAATACGCGGGATTTGTTAATGCTTCTACAGGGTGTCCCTGAAGTACATCTGATCCAAAACCGGCAGGTTCACGGGGTGATTCTGAACAGAAAAGTCCTTTTCCACTTTTTGATCAGAAGCACCCCTGAGGAGTTATTAGGGTGAGAAGGACAGCCAATGGTGCTACCGCGTTCAGCAGCTGTACGTCCGTGTGGCTGTGCGCAAAAATGTGCGTAATGCCCCTTCCACTGAGCAGGAGGCGGGATAGAGTTCCCCTTCCACTCGTGAGCGAGAAAGAGAAGGAACGATACTTCTCTGTCGCTCTTATTGTTTTTGGAGGGGATTATGAAAGAGAAAAAAAAATGATTCTTTCCTCTCTCGCTTTGAGTAAACAGTTAATAATTATTAATTGTTTACGGAATCCCCAGAGCCCCAGAGTTTTTTTATTTTGGTAAAATTTTGCTGAAAAAAAATATTTTTGCAATTATCTCGTAAACAAATGGGTTTACAGCATTTTGCAAGAAGAAATTGTTTGAAACGCAACTAAAATTCCAGAACATTCCGGTCGACCATCGGCCTACTTCGAAAATTTCCGGGACCCTTCGGGTCATCAGTCATAAGTCACCGAAACACGCGCGAATCAGTTTAGGTTTAGCCTCTCACCGTACAAGTCTATCTCGGGCAAATCACCTGTACAAGTTTTATATCGCACCTCACCGAGTACAGTAGCTTCTTGAACCTCACCTAGCTCACTAGTAATCAAGTACATCACCGGTCTTTGTAAGATCACCGTTTTGTTCGGTACATCACCTCTGTTGATTAAATTCAGTCTAAATTCAGTGACTTAAGGAATTAACAGTGAAAGACAATTATCAGTATAATTAGACATTCAACAATTAAATTACCAAAGAGTGTAAATAGTTTTGACAAAGTGGTTCGATCCCGCAAAATAAAGTGTGATTTTTGAAATCCGGCTCATCAATAATTTTCCCAACATCTCCCTCCACATTTTCATCCCACATCCACCCTAAATCTAGTCATTCACCAAACAGAAATTTTTTGTAGAAGATCCAGTTTCATACAAAAAACGTTTTATGGTGTGTCGTATACCGAACGACATTGCCGACGGGCATCAGCGATACCACAGGGTATATGATGGTCTACACGGTGGCAGTACCAGACTGTTCACTTTTTCTGGCATATAAAAAGATTATACTTTCTCAACCTACTATGTAACTGATAGACCCTGCGATGACTGATAGACCCGGCGATCTAGCGATCACCTTATAGCAATAAACCATCTGTAAATATATATTATAAATCCTGAAGTCCATCACTTGTTTCTTAAAGATATAACAATGGCGACGAGGATAATTTCGTTTTAAAAGTGCAAGCAAACAACACATGGTGAGAATTTTGCTAAAATTCGGCACCACGTGCTCGCATAACCTCAAAACGATGAGAAATTCTGCCACGTGCGTATGAGTGGAAATCAGACTGGGAAGAGTGGGCAAAAAGGAAATTCCAAGGACCCGAAAGCCACCGTTCCAGGACAAAGCCCTGAACCACCAGATTTGGATAAATCAGATCACCCTGGATCAACACCCCCCGCAGCTGTAATAACCATTGAGCATAACCTCCCTGAGGAAGCGACAATGGCCAACACCATAGCACCAGAATTACACTACCAGAATTTGACACAGTCAAGGATAAATGGGAGAAGTGGATCGAAAGATTCGGATTTTTTGCAGAAATGCAAAAAATTACAACTGAAGAAGGTAAGAGATGTGCATTCTTCATATATGTAGGAGCGAGAGCATATGACATCATCAAAGGTCTGATTGCTCCAAAATCTCCCTCTGAATTAAAATTCACTAAAATAAAACAAATTTGTGACTCACATTTCATAAGAAAAACAAATGAATTACTGGCAAGAGTCCGTTTCCAAAAGAGAGACCAGAAACCAGGCGAGAGTCTCAAAGATTTCGAACGAGCACTTCGTATACTGGCTGGCGACTGCAAATTTGGGAACAACACGGAAGCTCTGCCAACATCAACGATGTTACGAGACAGATTCGTGGCAGGACTACTCGACCAGGAACTACAACGTCATCTGTGTCGCAGACACGAGGAATCAGCAATCGAACTGACACTGGAGAAGGCACTGGAAATAGGCAGCAGCGTTGAAGGCACCCAAAAACTCCAAAAAATCCTCAAGAACGACGATAACAACAACAACACCGTAAAAAAGGTACAGTCACAACAACATAAAAATACTCAAAAATCAAATACTCTGAAACCATGTTTCCGCTGCGGTAAGACGAACCACACACCCGACAACTGCAAATTCAGAAATACTGTATGCACTTACTGTTCAAAACTAGGTCATATTGAAACAGCATGTATCAAAAAGAAAAAAGCAGCAAAAGGCCCAGAGAACAAGAAACCTACAGCAAAAAAAGTGGAGGTTCACCAGGACACTGACTCCGACTCATTTGAGTACGTCCACTCGCTACAGGCTATGGAATCAAGACAAAAGAATAAATACAAAATCAAGGTAAAAATCAATGGAGTAGAGACATCATGGACATCGACAACGGCGCCGACGAGTCGTTGATCAACTTACAAACATTCGCAAAGATATGGCCCCACGCAGAACCAAGATGGAGCAACCGTAAACCAAATCTACGTGCCTGGGGTGAGAGACCAATCGCTACAAAAGGAATAATGATGGTCAGAGTACCCCTCACAAGATGTCTACCACTAATTATCACGTCAGAGGAGGAAGGACCCAATTTATTCGGAGAAAATTGGTTTAAGCCTTTGGGTATCATTGTAACTGGCATCCAGACAGTGCAACTAACACCACACACTGACTATATGGCAATAGTAGATAAGTTCCCAGGACTTATGGCAGAAACACCCTCAGGACACGCTGGAAAGCCAATCCACATCCAGATAAAGACGGAGTGTAAACCAAAATTCTTCAAAGCACGCAGAATACCTCTTGGAATGGCAGAAATGGTGTACGAAGCCCTGGGAGACATGGAGAAACAGAACATGATTACACCCACAGACCAATCTGATTGGACAACACCAGTGCTGTTCGTGCCAAAGAAGCTGGAGAGAAAACTCAGGGTGGTAGGAGATTACAAAGTCACAGTTAACCCCGCCATTACGAATTCAGAGTATCCACTACCTACTGTCAAGGAAGCCATGGCAACGCTGAATGGAGGCAAGATATTTTCACAGATCGACCTCAAGAACGCCTATAAACAGATACGAGTGGACCCTGATACCTCAAAAATCCTCACGATCAGCATCCCAAAGGGATTATATAACGTCAACGTGATGCTGGACGGATTGAATATTGCACCAAGGATTTTCCAAAAATTCATGGAAACACATCTCCAAGGCATACATGGAGTATTAATCTACCTAGACAATATCAAAATCCAAGGCAGAACTAAGACAGAACATAACGACCGATTAATTGAAGTACTGAAACGACTTGAAGCTGCAAACCTCATCATAAACAAGGAAAAGTGCATATTTGGAGTCACAGAAATGGAGTTTCTCGGATACCTAGTATCAGATATTGGAGTTAGACCATTGAAGGATAAGGTAAAGTCAATCTCAAAAATGCCAACTCCTTCTAACGTGAAAGATCTCAAAGTGTTTCTAGGTGGTCTAAACTTCTATGCAGACTTCATAAAAGATAGAGCTCGAATTGCTGAACCCCTTCACCGCCTCTTGGACACTGGGAGAACATGGGATTGGAACGAGACTCACCAACACGCGTTCTCAGAGCTGAAAAATAAACTGATATCAGCACCAATCCTCAATCACTTCGATGACGAGAGAGAAATCGTCGTGTCAGCTGATGCATCACCGACAGGCATCGGAGGAGTACTGGCAGTGATTGGAGAGGACAATAAAGAACACCCAGTGGCGTATTTTTCAAGAACACTGACAAAAACACAAAGGCGATATTCACAACTGGACAGAGAGGCATTGGAACTCGTTGAAATAGTAAAACACTTCCACTACTACCTTGCTGGTAGGAAGTTCTTACTGTACACTGACCACAAACCCCTGTGCAGCATCTTCAACCCCAACAAACCGACTCCAGAGATCATCTCACCAAAACTGAGCAGATACTCAGCTACACTCAGTGCCTATAAGTACGACCTGATTCATCGCCCAGGTAATAAACACACAAACGTAGACTTATTATCAAGACTACCATTGGAGGATACACTGGAAGATGAAGAAGAGAATTATCAGGAGAATTTCATGATTGAAAACGTATCAAAAAATCCTGTTACACCAGAAGACATCGCCAAGAGCACATCAAAAGACGAGACACTAACACAAGTGAAGAAATGGCTCGTTAACGGATGGCCAAGCAAAGTACCAGCAGCATATAAACACTACTGGCCCAAGAGAAACGAAATGTCACTGCACAAGGACTGCATACTCTGGGGAAACAGAGTAGTAATCCCAGAGGAACTACGTGACACAATTCTACAATATCTACACGCTAACCATCCAGGTATATGCAGCACCAAAGCCGCAGCCAGATCATACGCCTGGTGGCCTAGCATTGATGACAACATTGAAAACATGGTAAAGAATTACAAACCATGTCTAGAAGTACTTTCATAACCACCAAAAGCACCGATTGAACAATGGAAAGCACCTGACAAACCCAGGGCACGACTTCACATTGATTTCGCAGGACCAATGGCAGGACGAACTTTTCTAATTGTTGTTGATGCAAAGACAAAGTGGCTTGAAGTTAAACGCATGCCATCGACAAACTCTCAAATGGTAATCAAAGTTTTGAGGGGACTCTTCGCAACGTTTGGACTACCACAGACCATTGTCTCTGACAACGGAACGGCATTCTCATCGAATGAAATAAAAGAATTCTACAAAAAGAATGGAATCAAGTACTTATATATCGCACCTTATCATCCAGAATCCAATGGACAAGCAGAAAGGATGGTGCAGACGACAATAAGATCCCTGAATAAACTGACAGAAGGCAACTGGGAAATAAAATTACCAAGACTGAGATGTTTGGAAGACCACTACGCACCGCTCTGGACACTCTCAGACCAGAGGAAGAGAAACAAGATGATGTTCAAAGCACAAAAATACGTGAATTACCGATTGGAGCTAGACTACGAATGAAAAATTATCGTGCATCTGGACCAAAATGGGTAATCGCACACGTACACGCCAGAATTGGTAAAGGAACGTACCAGGTGAAAGAAGAAGAGACAGGCATAATACACAAAAAAGACATCAACCAAATTGTAGAACTACCCGAACCTTTCGGGAAGATCAAGACTGAAAAACCTAGAAAAAATCTGCGAGAATCCAGCGTCTCCACTGAATTTTTCGACCATGAAGAAACGATACCAGAAATAAACCCATATGAAGACTCAGAAAACAAGACTGATGATGAAGATCTCGAAGGGGAGAGAGAACCAGGACCTCAGATCTAACGCAGAAAGAGACCCAAACGGGCATGTGTACAAGGAAGTAGGAACAAATACAGAGACAGCATCCTAGAATCATCGGTCATCGAAGGTCTCTAATAAAAAAAAAACATTCCCAACACTTCCAATCCTTCATTCTTCCTTTCAACCAGGCAGAGACAATAACCCGAGAGCCGTCTCCCTGCCAGACGAGGCTCGGTCGACATAGAATCCCAGGATGAACCAGAAGGCAACGTCCAATCCAGGGGGGAGAGATGTCGTATACCTAACGACATTGCCGACGGGCATCAGCGATACCACAGGGTAGATGATGGTCTACACGGCGGCAGCACCAGACTGTTCACTTTTTCTGATATATAAAAAGATTATACTTTCTCAACCTACTATGTAACTGATAGACCCTGAGTCTAGCGATCACCTTATAGCAATAAACCATCTGTAAATATATATTATAAATCCTGAAGTCCATCACTTGTTTCTTAAAGATATAACATGGTGTAATAACGTAAACCCAATAGTTTATTAAATAATTACATAACAATATTAATTATATTTTTGTAATTATTTAATAAACTACTGAATTTAGATTATTTCATTATAAGACCTTTTTGTAGGAAATTAGATTCCCTACAAAAAATAATTGTTTGGAGGGAAAACTGAATTTAGGGTGGATTGGGAAAGGGGCAGTGGAAATGCCGGTGAAAAACGAACGCACTGAGTCTATAAAAAATATACTGATTTATTCGGTGGAATCGAACCACCTTAGCGTCACTTGTTACACTCTGTTAATTGTCACTGAAATTAATTCAAACTGTTCTGAATTTTAACACTGGAGATTTTCTGAACAATATACTGAATAATAGGAGACTGTACTGAGAATTTAAATAGATGTACTGAGAGAACAAAAATGTCTCGAACGGTGATGTACTGACGCTGTTCGGACAACCGAAGGTAGCTTTAGAAGAACGATATACTGCTCGCTCAACTCAGGTGCTACGACTCTCTCCGACTGACTGTCTGTAACTGACTCTGAGATTCGGTGATTGACTAGGCCTGACCGTTGACCCGAGGTTTCCCGAAGATTTTCGTAAGTGGCCAATCTGTGGTCAACCGTTGATATACTGAATTTTGACTGCGTTTCAAACAATAATGAATGGCAAAATGTTGTAAATGCATTTTTTTACACGATAATTGTAAAAAAGTGTTTTTCAACAAAAAAATCCACGAAAATCAAAACCCGTCCCTTTCCCATTTTTGAGACAACTGTTTAATTGCTAATTATCTCGAAAATAAAGAGAGTTAAGAGAGTTGTTTGAAACGTAACTCAACCTCTCCAAGACCAAGGTCGATCAGCTCGGCCAATTACGAAAATCATCGGCCTTTTCCGGGTCGACGCTCAGGTCTAGTAGAGTCACCGTAAATCAACGCGAGTCAGTACATCACAGTCTGTCGTATAGCACGTTTTGAATGGAATTCAACTCTGTAGAGTTTAGACCACAGTACATTAGCGTCTATTAACTCGGCAATAGAAATTCAGTAAAAGAAAATCACGTTATTTATTGACCATTCAACCAGTGACTCACAGTGCAAAACCGATAGACAATTAAATTAACTCAGTACGATCAACAAGTGACAAGCTGTTTTTGTAAATTTGACAAAGCGTGGTTCGAACTCGAGAATAAATGCACGTTGATACTAGGTCAAGACTCTCAACAATTATTGCACACCGACGATCCTCTAACCTCCCAATCCACCCTAAATCTAGTTCCTCACCAAACAGATATTTTTTGTTGTAAATTAAATTTACTACAAAAAAGGTCTTATGACAAAATCCAGTAAAATCCTTTGTTCAAAAGATAATTCACAATCAAACGATGACCTCGAAAATGTGAAGAGTTATGGCCTTCGATTTTCGTGAAATTTTGCTGAAAAAAAATGTTTTGGCAATTATCTCTTGAACAAATGCGTTCAGAGCATTTTGCCAGAAAAACGTTTTTGTATAAAATCAAATTTTCTACAAAAAAAGTTCCATGGTGTAATAACGTAAACCCAATAGTTTATGAAATAGTTACTTAACAATGTTAATTATATTCTTGTAATTATTTAATAAACTACTGAATTCAGGTGATTTCATTAAAAGACGTTGTTCANCAAAAAATGAAGCAGTTACAACGAAGCCAATCACCACTCCTGAGGAAATCAACAGTCCAAGTGGATCGTCAGGATGAAAGGAGCCCGCTCAACAAAAGTCAACGCCTACAGCTTCAAAAACAGCACTCACCATGCAACAGGAAGGTTAATTAAGACTATTAACGTTTAAGGTAGAGACTCTGATGGAGATCTATCATGACCCCGCAGGACGTTGAAACCGAAGAGGACCTTNAAATGCAGCTTAAAATCTCCATATTAGTCACGGTCGACTAACTCGGCCATTTCCAAAAATCTCCGTGACCCTTCGGGTCAACGGACACAGGTCAGCGCGGCACCCGGAAGAGTCAGTCATCTGTAGTGTTCAAGTATCGTCACGATAATGATCTAGTGTATTCAGTCAATCAGTATTCTAAATTTAATATTTTGTTTAGTACATCAACTTGTTGATTAATTTCAGTCTAAATGCAGTGACTCAACTAATTAACAGTGAAAGACAATCATCAATTTCATTAGACATTCAACAATTAAAAACCAAAGAGTGTAATATTAATTGACAAGTGGTTCGATCCCACATAAATATAGTGTGATCATTTATCCGCCTAAAATAATTTTCCCAACATCTCCCTCCACATTTTCATCCCACATTCACCCTAATTCTAGACATTCACCAAACAGTGGTTCTTCTAGCTGGATTGTGGGTGAAAAAGTGTATAAAGCGCTGTGGAAAATCTAAGGGACGCCTCGTGTCGAATAAACTTTCGGGGTTCGCACGGGCAATTCAACGGAAAGTTCTAGAACATTTGCTTTGTTTACACCCGCAAGGGCGACGGGGTAACAAAGGACACAGTGAGTGCATCAGTGTCGGAGATCGGAAAGAATCGGGAGTGACGAGTGTCGCCGAAGCCCACCAACGCTTGGCCACGTGCGCCACGCAATAGGCGACTCACCAAAGGTCGGCGGTCGGTAACTCACCCAACTCTCAGCGGTCGGTAACTCACCTAACTCTCAGCAGTCGGTAACTCACCCAACTCTCAACAGCCGATAACTCACCTAAACCGACAACTTAGCACGGACAATCACCATGGCAGATGACACTAAGGTCAACGAACCCAAGGAAGAAACTAAACAACCAGTGAGCGATAGTGAGGAAATCGAGCAAATCACACAAGAAGAGGGACTGCCAGCAAAAAATGAAGCAGTTACAACGAAGCCAATCACCACTCCTGAGGAAATCAACAGTCCAAGTGGATCGTCAGGATGAAAGGAGCCCGCTCAACAAAAGTCAACGCCTACAGCTTCAAAAACAGCACTCACCATGCAACAGGAAGGTTAATTAAGACTATTAACGTTTAAGGTAGAGACTCTGATGGAGATCTATCATGACCCCGCAGGACGTTGAAACCGAAGAGGACCTTACCCTAGAGGAATTAGACGGGCACAAGGGGATAATCGAGGCAGAATGGAGCGAATATTTTCAAATTTATGCCAATCTAGCCGAGTTTCTTCCCCCTGATCACGAGTATGTCAACGAAGTGATCCATGAACGAGCCACCAGGACAAGACGACAAGTCCTGATGCTCATTGCTCGGCTGAAGGGTCAACTGGCAAGGAAGAAGGATTCAATTAGCAGCTCAACGGATCAAAGCCAGGCAAATCAGTTGAAGCGTCTTGACATCAAGCGATTCGATGGGAAACTGGAGGAATGGAAGGAGTTCAGTGACCTTTTCTTGTCACTGGTGGGAAACGTAACGTCAATTCCACCAGTACAGAAATTGGTGAGACTAAAGGGATGCCTGAGAGGTCCTGCAGCAGCTCTCCTCTCAACCTTTCAGGCCAAGGACGAAAACTACGAAAAGGCTTGGCAGAAACTCACCAGAAAGTACGAGGACCCTAGGCTCGTCGCTCAGTCGCTGTTCAACAGAATTCTTACGTTACCGAAAATCACCCAAGCGACAGAAGAGAACCTCAGCGCCAATAGAGCAGCAGCATTGGAGACCCTCGATCAACTACAAGACGTGACGCGGCTAACGACGGAGAATATCGCCGAACAGCTGATAGCCCACTTGCTGAGGAGATTNCCGCCTAAAATAATTTTCCCAACATCTCCCTCCACATTTTCATCCCACATTCACCCTAATTCTAGACATTCACCAAACAGTGGTTCTTCTAGCTGGATTGTGGGTGAAAAAGTGTATAAAGCGCTGTGGAAAATCTAAGGGACGCCTCGTGTCGAATAAACTTTCGGGGTTCGCACGGGGAATTCAACGGAAAGTTCTAGAACATTTGCTTTGTTTACACCCGCAAGGGCGACGGGGTAACAAAGGACACAGTGAGTGCATCAGTGTCGGAGATCGGAAAGAATCGGGAGTGACGAGTGTCGCCGAAGCCCACCAACGCTTGGCCACGTGCGCCACGCAATAGGCGACTCACCAAAGGTCGGCGGTCGGTAACTCACCCAACTCTCAGCGGTCGGTAACTCACCTAACTCTCAGCAGTCGGTAACTCACCCAACTCTCAACAGCCGATAACTCACCTAAACCGACAACTTAGCACGGACAATCACCATGGCAGATGACACTAAGGTCAACGAACCCAAGGAAGAAACTAAACAACCAGTGAGCGATAGTGAGGAAATCGAGCAAATCACACAAGAAGAGGGACTGCCAGCAAAAAATGAAGCAGTTACAACGAAGCCAATCACCACTCCTGAGGAAATCAACAGTCCAAGTGGATCGTCAGGATGAAAGGAGCCCGCTCAACAAAAGTCAACGCCTACAGCTTCAAAAACAGCACTCACCATGCAACAGGAAGGTTAATTAAGACTATTAACGTTTAAGGTAGAGACTCTGATGGAGATCTATCATGACCCCGCAGGACGTTGAAACCGAAGAGGACCTTACCCTAGAGGAATTAGACGGGCACAAGGGGATAATCGAGGCAGAATGGAGCGAATATTTTCAAATTTATGCCAATCTAGCCGAGTTTCTTCCCCCTGATCACGAGTATGTCAACGAAGTGATCCATGAACGAGCCACCAGGACAAGACGACAAGTCCTGATGCTCATTGCTCGGCTGAAGGGTCAACTGGCAAGGAAGAAGGATTCAATTAGCAGCTCAACGGATCAAAGCCAGGCAAATCAGTTGAAGCGTCTTGACATCAAGCGATTCGATGGGAAACTGGAGGAATGGAAGGAGTTCAGTGACCTTTTCTTGTCACTGGTGGGAAACGTAACGTCAATTCCACCAGTACAGAAATTGGTGAGACTAAAGGGATGCCTGAGAGGTCCTGCAGCAGCTCTCCTCTCAACCTTTCAGGCCAAGGACGAAAACTACGAAAAGGCTTGGCAGAAACTCACCAGAAAGTACGAGGACCCTAGGCTCGTCGCTCAGTCGCTGTTCAACAGAATTCTTACGTTACCGAAAATCACCCAAGCGACAGAAGAGAACCTCAGCGCCAATAGAGCAGCAGCATTGGAGACCCTCGATCAACTACAAGACGTGACGCGGCTAACGACGGAGAATATCGCCGAACAGCTGATAGCCCACTTGCTGAGGAGATTTCTTGATGCAGAGACACTCAAGCAGTGGGAACTAAAGTTGGGAGACTCCAAGGATTTCCCGAGCCTTAAGGAGTTCGTGGCATTTATCGAGGCCTGCGGCAGAGGGATCAACGCAAGTGCCAAGCTGTTATCAACAAAGGAAATCAACACAGCCACGAAGAAGTCAACTCCACCAAAGAAAAGGAGCACCTATACAGCAGCAACTCACCAGCTGGAGACTAAGGAGCCAGAAAGACAACTTCCCAGGAACTGCTGTGCCTACTGTCAGGATAAACATTTCATCGCATCCTGCCAGAGGTTCATTGAGCTCACCCCACCTAAGAGAAACGAAGTCGTCATCACCAAGGGGCTGTGCTTCAACTGCTTAGGGCCACACACGAAGGCCAAGTGCACGTCGGACAAGAAGGGCCACAAATGCAGCAGGTATCACCACACTCTCATCCATGGAGGGAGCTCATGGACGATGAGCCCGCCTCCAATCCGACGCACACCAGCTGAGCCCATCCCGACTGCCGGAACGTCCAGGCAGCAAGAGGGNGTGTATAAAGCGCTGTGGAAAATCTAAGGGACGCCTCGTGTCGAATAAACTTTCGGGGTTCGCACGGGGAATTCAACGGAAAGTTCTAGAACATTTGCTTTGTTTACACCCGCAAGGGCGACGGGGTAACAAAGGACACAGTGAGTGCATCAGTGTCGGAGATCGGAAAGAATCGGGAGTGACGAGTGTCGCCGAAGCCCACCAACGCTTGGCCACGTGCGCCACGCAATAGGCGACTCACCAAAGGTCGGCGGTCGGTAACTCACCCAACTCTCAGCGGTCGGTAACTCACCTAACTCTCAGCAGTCGGTAACTCACCCAACTCTCAACAGCCGATAACTCACCTAAACCGACAACTTAGCACGGACAATCACCATGGCAGATGACACTAAGGTCAACGAACCCAAGGAAGAAACTAAACAACCAGTGAGCGATAGTGAGGAAATCGAGCAAATCACACAAGAAGAGGGACTGCCAGCAAAAAATGAAGCAGTTACAACGAAGCCAATCACCACTCCTGAGGAAATCAACAGTCCAAGTGGATCGTCAGGATGAAAGGAGCCCGCTCAACAAAAGTCAACGCCTACAGCTTCAAAAACAGCACTCACCATGCAACAGGAAGGTTAATTAAGACTATTAACGTTTAAGGTAGAGACTCTGATGGAGATCTATCATGACCCCGCAGGACGTTGAAACCGAAGAGGACCTTACCCTAGAGGAATTAGACGGGCACAAGGGGATAATCGAGGCAGAATGGAGCGAATATTTTCAAATTTATGCCAATCTAGCCGAGTTTCTTCCCCCTGATCACGAGTATGTCAACGAAGTGATCCATGAACGAGCCACCAGGACAAGACGACAAGTCCTGATGCTCATTGCTCGGCTGAAGGGTCAACTGGCAAGGAAGAAGGATTCAATTAGCAGCTCAACGGATCAAAGCCAGGCAAATCAGTTGAAGCGTCTTGACATCAAGCGNAACAGTGAGTGAATGAATTCAACCTCAATAGCACACTCACCATCTCATTGCTCATTCCTCAACACTAGAATCCAGTACATCATCACCAGTAGCAGTGAACTTCAACAACAAAATGATCAATGAGAAAGCAGCGAACATCAACCACGAAATTCACCAAGGAGAAGCAGATGAACAGTCAGTGCTGTTGGCAACAGCACGAGTAAAAGTAATATCACGGAGACGATTCATGACAAAAGCCAGAGCACTCATCGACCATGGTTCAGAGGTATCTTTTATCTCCGAACAATTAGTTAATCAACTGCATTTACAGAGAAGAGCATCAACAGTAGAGCGAGTGGAAATCGGTGGAATTAATTCAGGACACACCAGAGGAATAGTCTCAGTCAATCTACAAGCGAGCCACGGGACTCATCAACTGCAACTCAACGCCCACATTCTAAAGAAGCTCACCGCAATAATTCCGTCATTCTCATGCTCATCAGCGAGGATCGGCTCACTTCAGAATCTTCAGCTATCCGATCCCCATTATCTAAGGCCTGGACCAATCGACATCATACTAGGGGCTGACAACTATGGGCGGATCATCATGGATGAAGTTGTCAAGTCAGAGCAATCGAGAGTAGTTGGCCAACGCACAGTATTCGGTTGGATACTATCCGGACCAATCGAATGCACAAATTGTTCAATAAAGGTATCTCTATCAGCTGTACGAGAATCTTCGAATGAACAACTTCTGGAGCTTCTCCAAAAATTTTGGGTCCAGGAAGAACTGCCAAACGAGAGATCATCAACATCAGAGCTTTCACCAGATGAGCACGAGTGCGAGATGCACTTTAGAGCAACTCATAGCAGAGACAACACCGGGCGATACATCGTGAGACTGCCCCTCAAAACTTCAGCCGCAACGCTCGGAGAATCAAAATTCAAAGCAGCACGTCAACTCAAATAGATCGTGAGTCGACTCAACACAGATCAAGCATACTCCCAGTTATACAGAGAGTTCATCAACGAGTACGCAGCACTGGGGCACATGAGAATAGCACCAGAGACTCCAGAACCCGTGCCAGCCTACTATCTTCCACATCACGGGGTACTGAAAGAGGTGGCCATCACAACGAAGCTGAGAGTCGTATTCAATGGCTGCAGCCCCAGTTCATCAGGTATGTCACTTAACGATATACTGTATTCTGGTGAAAAATTACAGAACGATGCCATGGTTATCCTGACTTGGATGAGGAGGCACAGGCTCGTGTTTGGCACGGACATCGTGAAGATGTTCCGTCAGATACGAGTTCACCAAGATGACTGGGATCTTCATAGAATCCTGCGGATCGACGAGAATCAACAACCAGTCACATACCAGTTAACGACAGTCACTTATGGACTAAATCGTTCTCCATGGTTGTCGTTACGTGTTCTTCAACAACTAGCAGAAGATGAAGGGCACCGCTTCTCAGCAGCAGTAGAGACACTCACCAGAGGTCGTTACGTTGACGGCATTTACGGCGGTGCAGAGACAGAAGACGGTCTCAAGGAGAACGCAACGCAACTATAAGGGCTTTGCCATGCAGGAGGCTTCTCTCTACAGAAGTGGGACAGAAATTGTCCAGAGGCTCTGCATGAGTTGGGCCTATCAACTGAAGAAGAAATTATCCAGTTTGAGGAGTCAGTCACCAAGGTACTTGGATTGTGTTGGCATCAATCCACCGATACATTCCGGTATAAATCAAAGGACTTCAATGCGACGACAATCACCAAGAGAGTAGTCTCTTCTGAAATAGCCCAGATCTTTGATCCACTGGGATTTATCGCACCAGTTGTCGTCCAGAGAAAGATTCTCCTACAAGATCTTTGGAGATTGAAATTAAAATGGGATGATCCTCTTCCGGACGAGTATGTTCAACGCTGGAAGACATTCCGAGAGAATCTCAGTGATCTAGACAGTGTAACTGTACCTAGATGGCTGAGAATTTCAACAGAGACACTCAACATCCAAATGCATGGATTTGCAGACGCTTCATCGCTAGCCACGAANCAAATAGATCGTGAGTCGACTCAACACAGATCAAGCATACTCCCAGTTATACAGAGAGTTCATCAACGAGTACGCAGCACTGGGGCACATGAGAATAGCACCAGAGACTCCAGAACCCGTGCCAGCCTACTATCTTCCACATCACGGGGTACTGAAAGAGGTGGCCATCACAACGAAGCTGAGAGTCGTATTCAATGGCTGCAGCCCCAGTTCATCAGGTATGTCACTTAACGATATACTGTATTCTGGTGAAAAATTACAGAACGATGCCATGGTTATCCTGACTTGGATGAGGAGGCACAGGCTCGTGTTTGGCACGGACATCGTGAAGATGTTCCGTCAGATACGAGTTCACCAAGATGACTGGGATCTTCATAGAATCCTGCGGATCGACGAGAATCAACAACCAGTCACATACCAGTTAACGACAGTCACTTATGGACTAAATCGTTCTCCATGGTTGTCGTTACGTGTTCTTCAACAACTAGCAGAAGATGAAGGGCACCGCTTCTCAGCAGCAGTAGAGACACTCACCAGAGGTCGTTACGTTGACGGCATTTACGGCGGTGCAGAGACAGAAGACGGTCTCAAGGAGAACGCAACGCAACTATAAGGGCTTTGCCATGCAGGAGGCTTCTCTCTACAGAAGTGGGACAGAAATTGTCCAGAGGCTCTGCATGAGTTGGGCCTATCAACTGAAGAAGAAATTATCCAGTTTGAGGAGTCAGTCACCAAGGTACTTGGATTGTGTTGGCATCAATCCACCGATACATTCCGGTATAAATCAAAGGACTTCAATGNTCTACAGAAGTGGGACAGAAATTGTCCAGAGGCTCTGCATGAGTTGGGCCTATCAACTGAAGAAGAAATTATCCAGTTTGAGGAGTCAGTCACCAAGGTACTTGGATTGTGTTGGCATCAATCCACCGATACATTCCGGTATAAATCAAAGGACTTTAATGCGACGACAATCACCAAGAGAGTAGTCTCTTCTGAAATAGCCCAGATCTTTGATCCACTGGGATTTATCGCACCAGTTGTCGTCCAGAGAAAGATTCTCCTACAAGATCTTTGGAGATTGAAATTAAAATGGGATGATCCTCTTCCGGACGAGTATGTTCAACGCTGGAAGACATTCCGAGAGAATCTCAGTGATCTAGACAGTGTAACTGTACCTAGATGGCTGAGAATTTCAACAGAGACACTCAACATCCAAATGCATGGATTTGCAGACGCTTCATCGCTAGCCACGAATGCAGTGGTATATATTCGCACCAAAACCATCAACGACTCAACATCAACAGGGCTGGCATGTGCGAAGACGAAGGTAGCACCACTCAAGCGCATGACCATCCCTCGTCTAGAGCTCACAGCGGCTCTTCTACTGACTCAGCTAGTGGCATCAACGAAACAAATGCTCCAACTCGACCAGGTAGACACCTATCTCTGGTCTGATTCTTCAGTAACACTAGCTTGGATCAGGAGCCACGCATCTAGATGGAAGGGCTTCGTCCACAACAGGGTCGTCAAGATCCAGGAAACTCTCCCGAACGCTACCTGGAGACATGTCAGTGGAAAGGAGAATCCAGCTGATTGTGCCTCTAGAGGCATATCACCGAGCCATCTAGAAGATCATCAACTGTGGTGGTCAGGACCTGAGTGGATCAATCAGGATCCTGAAGAATGGCCACAATCATCAATCGACGCTCCAGCAATGGACATCCCAGAAGTGGCCAGAGAAGCAAAACCAGCACCAGCACATCCAGTTGCAATTAAAATCAACGAAATTGCAGAGCTACTCAACAGATATCAGACGATGGCTAAATTGCTAGCCGTAACAGCTACGGTCAACAGAGCTATCGACAGATTCAGGAGGCAGTCAACGCCCCCGGGACCTGTCTTGACAACAAGAGAACTCAACGACGCGAGGTTATTTTGGGTAAAGATAACCCAACATCAATACTTTGGGCCAGCTATTCGAGTACTCCAGAAAAATCACCAACTACCGAGAAATCATCAACTAGCGAAGCTGACACCTACACTAGACAACGAAAGGATCATGAGACTTGGGGGACGCCTCAAGAACTCGCAGTTGAATCCAGATGAAATTCACCCAATAATCTTGCCTCGCCAGTCACGCCTCACCACACTAGTCATCGAAGAAGGTCACCGCAAAACACTCCACGGAGGAACTCAACTCACCTTGGCCTACACACGTCAAAGGTACTGGATAATCGGCAGCAGAGGCACAGTTAGAGCATATATTCAACGCTGTGCCATCTGCACCAGACACCGAGGAAGACAGGCCCAGCAACAGATGGGTCAACTACCAGCAACGAGAATCTCACCAGCAAGAGCATTTCTCCACACAGGGGGAGACTATGCAGGACCATTCGCCATCCTGAAATGGAGACCAACGAATATACAACCAGGGTCAGTTGTACAGGGTCAGGCACATTGCAGTTTTTGTGTGCTTCAGCACATCAGCAGTTCACCTAGAGTTAGTCACCAGACAAACAACGGGCGCCTTCATCGGAGCCTACAAGAGATTCACCGGAAGGCGGGGTATTCCAGCTGTCATGTACAGTGACAATGCCACTACCTGCGTAGGCGCAGCAGAGGTCCTAGAGAAGATCTATCACCGAGCATCCAGAGAAAATCAGCAGGTTCAGGCTGCTCTCGCCACCAATGGGACTCAATGGAGCTTTTCACGACCACAAGCACCCCATTTTGGTGGCAAGTGGGAAGCGGCCGTCAAATCAACAAAATATCACCTTAGAAGAGTTTTGGGGACAACAACACTCACATTTGAGGAACTCAACAGTGTCGTGGTCCAGATAGAGGCCTGCCTAAATTCCAGGCCAATCTGTCCCATGTCAGATGACCCAGACGACCTCCAAGTACTCACCCCAGGACACTTCCTGATAGGTGAGCCTCTTCAACTGATTCTAGAGCCATCAATCATCGACAAGAACTCCAGCAAACTGCAGAGATGGAACCTGGTAACGCAGCTAACTCAACAATTCTGGTCCAGGTGGGCCAAAGAGAGTCTTCAACGATATCAGGCAATCTATAAGTGGACACATCGAGAAGAGAACATCAAGGTTGGCGACATGGTGCTGATGATCGACGAAAATTATCCACCAGCACAATGGCCAATCGGACGAGTCATTGTGACACGCCCAGGAGCAGATAGGCTAACGAGAGTCGCAACTATAAGAACCGCAAAAGCAGAAGTACCAAGGCAGGCAGATGGATCACCAATCATAGAAAACAGCAGAACAATCTACACAGAGCTTGACAGACCAATCACCAAGCTTTGCCTACTGCCATCAGATCCACCACCTCCAGAGCAACCTCCAGACGATGATGCAGAAGAAGCTCAACAGGACTAGAATCACCATTAATTCATTATCCCTGAAAGTCAAACGTAACAAGAGTCTTTTGCGAATGGCCAAACGTCACGAGGGTCATTTGCGGATGGTCAAACGTTAGGAGGGTGAGTTGGGGGAGAGTCAAACGTCACAAGAGTCATTTGCGGATGGCCAAACATCACGGGGGTCATTTGCCGATGGTCAAACGTTAGAAGGGTGCCTTGGGGGAGAGTCAAACGTCATAAGGGTCATTTGCGGCTGGTCAAACGTCACGAGAGTCATTTAGGCGAGAATCAAACGTCACAAGAGACACTTGGGGGACAGTCAAACGTCACGAAAATCACTTGGGGTAGAGTCAAACGTTACGAGGGTCATTTGGAGAAGAGTCAAACTTCACAAGGGTCACTTGCGGATGGTCAAACGTCACAAAAGTCACTAGGGAAAAATCACAATAGTTTTCGGGGAACATTTGAATTATTGACAATTCAAGAGATGCAATATTTCAGATAGCCTAGAAGCTTGACAAGAACAGAAACAATTTCCAAAGTTGCTACTTACACAATACACATGGTGTTAAATGAGACATCCATAATTTCACCATTGTCCCTATATTGGCTTTTTCCACTTGTAATTCTCGTGAGCCTTGTGAGCCTCAGACTATCAAAATAATTCCATTTTCCACCAAGTGACCCTCGTGAGGTTTGATTGTTTCTTCAAGTGACCCTCCCTCATGGAAAAAAAATATATGCAAATAATTATACGTGACATATATGTGACATTGCATTTTTCGCCGAAAATATATCTTACATATATGTTAGATATATGTCGAATATATATGGGTAATATATATGTGCTCGCATATATTCAGCATATATCTGATGTATTGCATTTTTCGCCGAAATATATGTGCATATAATTTACATATATTTCACATATATTCCGTTTTCCGTACGGGCTCCTTACGTTTGTCTCTCCCTCAAGGCACCCTCCTAACGTTTGATCACCCACAAGTGACCCTTATAACGTTTGATTTCCCTCCCAAATGACCCTTGTGAAGTTTGACTTTCCATCAAGTGACCCTCGTGACATTTGACATTTGGCTACGGCCATGGCCATTTTTGCACGTGAAAGAATGGAAATCCAACGTTATCATTTGGTGGCCCTGAAAAGAGCCGTTTTTTATCATTGCCCTCAAAAGGACAGTTTTCTCCATGATCCTAAAGAACATTTTCCACGTGTCCTCCACCAGCTGCAATGCAGAGTCTTGCTCTCTTCAGAAGATTCTCCCTCATGCGTTGTAGCTCTTCGGGAGTGACAGTGGCCACTGCAGCGTGCAGCAGTGCAGTCATCTCCTCCTGATGTCTTGGATTGTGAGGGTATATCCGGGACTCCAGACTACTCCACAAGAAGAAATCTAGTGGAGTGAGGTTTGGAGACCGGGGGGCCAAGCCACAGGTGGATGGCGACGTCCACCCCTANCTACCAGCAACGAGAATCTCACCAGCAAGAGCATTTCTCCACACAGGGGGAGACTATGCAGGACCATTCGCCATCCTGAAATGGAGACCAACGAATATACAACCAGGGTCAGTTGTACAGGGTCAGGCACATTGCAGTTTTTGTGTGCTTCAGCACATCAGCAGTTCACCTAGAGTTAGTCACCAGACAAANTCATTCAGCTGGTCCACTACTGCCACGCACGTATGAGCTGGAGCCCCATCGTGCTGGAACTAAATATCTCTGTCACCAGGACCATCACCGACGACCTGTTACCNACGAATATACAACCAGGGTCAGTTGTACAGGGTCAGGCACATTGCAGTTTTTGTGTGCTTCAGCACATCAGCAGTTCACCTAGAGTTAGTCACCAGACAAACAACGGGCGCCTTCATCGGAGCCTACAAGAGATTCACCGGAAGGCGGGGTATTCCAGCTGTCATGTACAGTGACAATGCCACTACCTGCGTANGTGTTGATTTAGCATTGGTTCCCTGTCCCGTTCATACTAAACGGTGTCCCAGAAAGTCCACACCGTCCATGGTGTCGATTTTCTGGGACACCGTTCGGAGTGGACAGGGAATGAATGTTAAATTAACACGGAGCCATTTTTCCATTTTTTGCAGTGCAGGATAAAGAAAAAATATTTACGTCGAGATGTCCTGGTCNCCTAGAGAAGATCTATCACCGAGCATCCAGAGAAAATCAGCAGGTTCAGGCTGCTCTCGCCACCAATGGGACTCAATGGAGCTTTTCACGACCACAAGCACCCCATTTTGGTGGCAAGTGGGAAGCGGCCGTCAAATCAACAAAATATCACCTTAGAAGAGTTTTGGGGACAACAACACTCACATTTGAGGAACTCAACAGTGTCGTGGNAACGATACTGATAGTTCGATTCTTTCGCGAGACGAGGATTTTCAATAGCCGAATGATGCTCATTGTGCTGATTGATGATCCCCTTTCTCACGAAAAGTTTCTCGTCTGTCCAGCAAACGTTGCGTATGAAATCGGGATCGCGACTTCTGTCAAGGAGCCATTCGCAGACCTCCACACGTTTCAGCAAATCCTCCGCTTTCAGCTCCTGAACACGCGTGTACTTCCATGGATGGAAACCTTCACTTTTCATCACACGATGAACCGTGGAACGTTCCGTGTGTAATGCGGATGCGATTTCCCGGATGGACATTCCTGGATATTCCTCGACACACTCGAGAATTTCCTCCTCCAACTCCACGTGACCTGCTCGTCTTGGGCGCCCTTCGCCGTGCCTTGGGAGGACGTTACCCTCGCTCAGTCGTTGAAAAGCATCTCTGAAGGTACGTGGATCAGGCACCACATGATTTGGGAACTGCTCCGCGTAGATTCGAGCAGCTTCCGCCTCATTGCCCCCCGCAACACCATAAACTGCCACCATATCTGCGTATTCCGCTGCCGTGAATCGAACCATTTTCACGATGTGTATCGAATCAAAGAATTAACAAAATCGGAAAAACAAATGAAACAAGCAGGGAACCGAGCCTTTCTGTCAGAAGGCATGTAACCGTTACTTGATGCGTTATTTGCCTTTTTCATTTTTTATTTCTACCAATTCCATTGGTAGTAAGCTTCCGGATGAATCCGCAGAAATTTCATTTTTTGATTGAAAAGTGGCAATTTTTGTTGAATACGTTTCCTCGAAACGTTTGACCTTTTAAAATTGCGAATTAAATTTCGATTTTATCCAGTGGGATAGGCATATCTACACGACCCTATTTTTAAGAAATGTTTCCCTGTGAAAATCAATGATAGAACAACGATATGTCATTTTATGTGAACAACGTTTTTTACATCAACTGCTCTATTTCAAAAAGTATTGAATCGATCAATCTGAAATTTTACACAGAAGTGCAACGCGATGATACTAACTAGTCCTCAACATCTTGGAACTTTACCACATCCTTCACTCATGTAATAGAACGTTAAAACAGTGATGCCAGATGAGGGGAAAAATCCCACGCGTGGGAATTTCGTGCGCAGCTCCCTCGCGCACTCCTCGGGTCCCCGCCACTACCGCACAGGCTCAACGCCCGTAAATAATACCCGATAAATTAAATTCCACGATGGAACTGTCAATTAATTAATTAAAAGGAATGAAATTGATGGTATTATTATTTTTTTCAACATTTTAGTTATTAATAATATTTAATAACAATGGAGAGCTCAGTTTACTGTTAAAAATTCTTTAAAAATTGAGCAAAAGTTTGATAAAAATATTGAAAGTGAATTTGAAATCGGTTTGGGATCAATTCGTCTATGAAATTGCTTATCCTATTGCGAAATTGCATTTTCCTATTCATTTTCAAAATTCTACTTTATTTTTTATTATATTTTTTATTAGATTTCAGGGACTTTAAGATTTAATAAGAAAGTTTCCTAAGTTTTAATAGTGTTTAAGCATTTTTGTCGTTATAACGACCGGAAAATTGCAATTCCATTAAATATTTTATAATTTTTTTCAATTTTCAATCCCACAATATTTATCATTTGTACATAGAAAAGGAAATATTCGAAATTTCAGAATTTATTCGCAGAAATACGTCATGAGGGTTAAAAGTCATGAAAGGGAGGATCAAATGCCGTAAGATTCACAAGGGTAAGGGTGAAACACTGCGAGGGTAACAACAGGAAAATCCAATTTCCCGCAAATCGCGGGTGCAATCGTCTCCAGTACAAGAGAATACATTTAGCAAATATAACAAGATTCATTAGCTTTATTAAATTTTCCACGTTTATCATTTTGTGGCCCTGAAAAGGGCCGGTGGTTTCTGAAAATAACCATTTCTGGGTTCTGAAAAGAACCATTTCTGGGTTCTGAAAAGAACCACTTTTGTGTTCTGGAGAGCTGAAGAAGGGCTGTAAAATAAAAAAGGGTTAGTTGCATAGTTTTTGATGTTGTGTAGAATCCTGGAAATTCCCCCAAGTTTCGATTAAATCCTTGTTCTGACTATAATGGCTGAAGAGTGTTGATGTTATACTGGCAAAATGAAGAGTTGATGAAGGAAGCGAACCCGTATAGAATAAACAAAATACTAATTATGACTCGGCTTTGGATATAAATTATTTGAGTTATGTAACGCTAGATGATCGGAAGTTATTTTAATAGTTGTACAGTCAACATTGTGACACTGCATGGAGGATCGTATCTGAC